CGAAATCTGCAAAAAGATTAATAAGATGATTATACCGCAAATGTGTAGGCTTACGTTGTTGCATCGGATATACGCGGAATGTTGATTAGCCAAAATAGTAACAAACACATTTATTTCAATAATTACGTATAAAATCTATTTAATTAATTCATTTAAAAAAAAAAAAGAAAAAAAATGGTTGCTTATTCTTTTACAATTTAGAAACAAATCGTCTTTAAACCAAATCGAGTTTTATGCAAGAGTGCATCATATGTATCACATTCGAAACTTTCGTGGGATATTTATTTTAAATTTCCATTTTTTTAACTTTAATTATCTAACTTGTTTCAAAACAGCCAATGGGTAAGTGGCGGAAAGTCACTCGACCTATTAAAATCTTGAAAAGGCAACAGTAAGTTATCACATGTATTTCTTGATTACTAATTTATTATTGCTCGTAATAAAAAAAAAATTCCATGCAGTAAAACAATTACACTATACTATTGTCAGAAGCCTTTATCAAAAACAATGTATGCGTTATAGGTTGCAATATGCCGTCACGAGTTGTTTGTTTCCAAGGGAGGTACATATTACTTGGTCATTAGGTCACACAGCGCGGTTATTCTATTACCGGTTAGGAAATATTATTTACATATTCAAATATATTATTATATATATTACGTATATTATTATTGAATACGTATCAAAATTTATCGGGACGAAAGTTAAGCGAGAATAATGTCCGGGTTTGGTCACATTTTATGATCAACAAGATCGCTATAAAAATAATGTGTCTGCCTGTGTCCCCCTTAATATTCATCCTTTACTTCATTTTGTTCCATTCGTTCATTATTTGGCAAATCATTTCCTTTCGCTGCTTATTTAAAGGCCGCCCTCTTAATTTCTTGAACAGATTTTGCAACGTTTAATCTAAAGAAAAATATATCTGACGAAAATTTCTTTGAAAATTCTTTGAAAATTCTTTGATAATTCAGGATTAAACAACTCAATTTGTTGTCACATTCATCAAGAATATGACTAATAATTATCATTCTATCGAAGACATTGAAGATGGTCATCTGTCCGAAGATGATTTTAAATCATCGCGGCGTCTTTCATTGTTGAAGGTTGTTGTTTTAGTAGTTTGTGCTGGACTTTTATTTGGTTTAATTATTGTTGTATTTCCTGTGAATAAAGGTATGCCCTGCTTCTTTTTTTTATTATAAACCTATTTGATGGCGTAAATTATCCACGTTTTAGTTAAAGTACCAAATGTTAAATTAACCAAATATTTTTAAAAAATTTACTAAATTTATATGTTTTAAAAACATTTAAACCTTTTTTAAAAGAAAATTCATTGGTGATGGAATTTTCGTTAAAAAAGTCTTGAATTTTTTAATAATTATAAGAAAAAAAAAAGTGGTCATATTTATGCTCTATCTAAAAGATTACATCTACAATTTCGTTTAAATTACATCTCTAAAAATTATATCCTCCATTATACTATTAGCTCTCGATGGTATAATCGTTAGTGATGATCCTCGCCTTATTGTTGCTAAAAACGGTGCCGTTGCTTCTGAATTAGTGAATTGCTCTGTTATTGGTGTTGATGGTATTTGAAATTTTTTTTTTAATTAAAACTTGACTTTTTGCGTATATTAACTTTTATAAATTATAGTTTTAAAAGA